CACACACACACACACACACCACTGACTATGCCACCTCCTCACAGCGCCATCCTGTGGATGCCAAACACCAGTCTCCCAAACAGCAGCGTGAGCCATGCCCCGGAGGGAAAGCCACAGAACAGCCCCGACAGGACCCTTCAACAGAAGCCTTCTTCTGTGTAGCACTTCTAGGAGACCTTGCCAGAAGGGCAGGGACTTTCTTCTGGTTTCTGCCTTTCAGAGTGCGGAGGGTAATAAATAGATCAGTGATTGAATTCTCACCTTCCATGTGGGAGGCCCTGTTTAAACTCCTGGCGGGAACGTCTCATATGTGGCCACCACTTGTCTGCCAGTGGAGGCTTGTGTGTTGCTGTGATGCTAAACAGGCTTCAGCAGAGCTTTCAGACAAGGAAGAAAGGCCTGGTGACCTACTTCCAAAAACCGGTTGGTGAGAACTCTATGGAACTCCACAGCTGCCTGAACAGCTGTTCATGTGGTGGGCAGTATTTCGTTCTGTCCTGCCATCGATATCAGCCAGCAACAATAACAACTGCTTTGTAAAGTGAATTTCGAATCAGTTCCACAAACATTTCTATAAATCAAAGCAAACAAAACCATGATGCGCTGCACAGTACTGGCTCCTGGGGTCCAGAGAGAAGCCTCAGAGAACAGATAGCCTTGTGGGGAGAAAGGACCCAAGATTCAGACCGTCTAATACTGTTGGTTAGTGCGAGGAGGGACAGGCTAGCGGCCCTCTGAGAGTCCTTAGGGGCCACGAAGGTCCTGGAGGAGGGGAGGCGGGAGCTGTGTAAGCACGCTGGGGGAGGGGCAGAGGGAGGGGTGGACTCCAGGCAGTGTGCGACAGGCTTGCACAGCAGAGTCAGCTACGTGCCTAGATCATGCCTGGCACAGGGTTCGAGGGGAGAAAGGGGTCTGCGAGAGGGGTCCAGACATGGTGGTGGGCCACTGACAAACAACTGCGATGAGGGCTATGATTGAGGAGGGCCTTCTGGGGGAGCTGCAAGGTACACAGATACGGCACCGCCAGAACACAGGGACCCCAGGCAAGGCCAAGTGCTGAATGAGACTGTGGGCAGCCGTGCGACTCTTCCCAGCCACCCCGCCTGGGTGGGACTTCCCATCTGCAGCCGTGCTGCCTGAGTCTGGCGTCCTGTCACCTAATGCACCCACCCCACCCCGGCAACTGCAATCTCCCAGCTGACTGAACACAGAACAGACGCCAAAGCCCCAAGCAACCAACCCACCCACCAGCTGGCGGGCCAGACACTGCTGGGCTGTGTGGCTTGGCACCAGGGGACAGGGTCCCTGTCTTGAGGGTCTGAACAAGAATCTGAGAATAACCAGCCCCTTTACGAATCCACGCAGAAGCCTACGATGCACCGTGAGGCCTACACAGCGTGCGGAGGAACAGCTCGGTGCTGAGGTGCCCATCAGCGACCATCCACTGTTAGCAGGAAAATCACAGGATGCTTGTTTTCAGTCCCAGTATCATTTAACAGTGACCCAGTGGCTGCAACAATGGGCGCGAACGTAACAAGCGTGAGGATGGCCCAGACTGGTCAGTGCGGTGTTCCGCTCAATACAGGTTGCCACGTCAGAACAGACTCGATGGCCCCCATCAGCAACAACAAAATCATGGCAAAGGGGTCCCGAGCAGGCAATGCTGACTGTGGGTGCTGCTAACTGGGAGGGCAGCAGTCGAAGCCCAGCAGCCGTTCCACGGGAGAGTTGAGGGAGTCTGCCTCTGTACATCTTTACAGCCCAACCTGTCCGATAGGGTCTCTATGAGTCGGAATTAACTTGACAGCAAACGAGTTGTCGTGTTTTCTTTTCATGCTGTTACCGTTGAAGAGACAAAGGCTCTCAGGGCTACTTACCCCTCACCCTTGCCGTTGCTATCCCTCACCCTCGACTCATGCCCCATGACCATGATCGGCTGGGATTGTGAGACATAAGAGGTTTCCATCAGCTGATTGTAGACATAGATTGCCAGGCCTTTCCTCCTAGTCTGTGTTAGTTAGAAGCTATGCTGAAACCTGTTCAGTGTCACAGCATGTAAGTCTCTATGGCCAGAGAGATGGTAGCTGCACTCAAATGCATTGGCCAGGAATTGATATCAAGTCTCCTGCATGGAAGGTAAGAATTCTACTACAGAACCATCACTGCCCCCTCCTACCCTCTAGGCCACTCAGTCCCTCTATTTCAGCATAAATAGTCCCCACCCCCATCACAACCCAGCAATACTCACAGAACTGCAGGCTGAGGCTCACAAAGGCCAGCAGCGCAGCCAGGGCCAGCAACAGCAAGAAGCGATTGCGGAAAAGCATTATTATTTGTTCTATCTTCTCATCATGGCTCCACCTCAAAGCGGGAACATGCCCTGTGAATAAAGCAAAGGCAATACATGTGCGTTCTGAGGTAGAAAGCCAAGTCTGCCACCTGGTGAAAGTCCAATTCGCCAGGTCCTCTGGCCGGGACACCTGGCGCCAGCATGTGCTTTCTGACTGATTACTCTTTGCCCCAAAGAAGCCCAATGGAGAATGCTCCCTCCTCAGGAACGAGCACATCCTTCGCTCATCTGCCATCAACAGAGGATGAGAGCTTTTACAGACTCGGCCTTCCAACAAGGACAGCAAGCTCACTGCGCAGAGAACGTGCCAGGCAATGAAGTCGTTACATGGATCAGCATCCTGTTTTGAGCCCCCAGCTTTTAAATCCTCCGACCTTTCATGAGGCAAATCTTGCTACAGTGGCTGTGGTCATCTTCCACTATTCACCTGACCGTCACTCACTGCCATCATGCCTTTAGGGGCAGCCAGGCTGTGTAGGAGGACTTGCTGCTGGAGGGCCAGCCCTCGGCTTGGCGGAGACCTCCCCTCACCCTCCCACTGCCATGCCTGTTGGAGCCATGGGTTTTTCTGAGCCCCCGCCACCATTCTAATTTCCCCAACCCTACTCCAGTTCCGTTAGGTTGACCCCACTCATGTCATGATGCCCCAAGTGTGGGTCAGAGTCCGCCAGGCTCTATGAGGTTTTCTTTTCCTCTCGCTTTTGGGGCACGGTTTGGAGGGGCACCTACGTAGCAGGTGAGCTGTGCCCCCAGCTGCTGGTGGGCATGCTGTCTGTGACAGGGTCACAAGCTCCTTGATGTGACCCCCTCTTTCCCCTCCCTGCCTGGGCGCCCTGCTTCCATTTGTTCCAGTCTCTTGGCCACTTCTGCCTTCTGCCCTCTGTTTTGGGGCAAATGCTGCCCTTTAACCTCCTATGGTTGATTCTAGTTATTGACTTTCTTTCTATTCTTCAGCTTCAAGTTGAGCGCTGGGGATGGGTTCAGTTCCAGGCTTGAAGGATATCCAAAGGCCACAGTTGCAGAGCTTCTACCGGTAACTCTTAAGGCTTCCAATGGCTGATTTTTCAGAAGAAGCTAAATAGGTTTTTCTCCCAACATGCCTCTAAAACCAAACCAAACTCATGGCCTTCAGACCACTTCTGACTCATAGCAGCCCTCTACGACAGGGCAGACCTGTGGGTTTCCAGGACTGTGAATCTTTATGAGAAAACCAAACCAAAATCCACTGTCATCAAGTTGATGCCAACTGCCAGCGACCCTATAGGACTGCCCCTGTGAATTTCCAACCTCTACCTGTTAACGCAATAGAAAGCCATGTCTTCCTCCCGAGGAGTGGCTAGTGGTTTTGAACTGCTGACCTTGTGGCATAACTCCAATGCCACCAACCTTGCAGTTCAGCAACCAAGCAGGTTAACTGTTTGCAACATTCAAACCACATTCCAAAAGTTCACTGACATCAAGCGAATTTTAACCCACGGCGACCCTCGTGTGACAGAGGAGAACTGCTCTATGGAGTTCCCTGGCTTCCTCTTCAAGGAAGTGGACTGCCGCCTGCTTCTTCTGTGGTGTGGCTGGTGGGGTTGAGCCAGCGACCTTTCAGTGAGCTGCTGATGGCTTGACCCCTGTGCCACCAGGGCCCCTCCCAGGCCACCTGAGAACCCTGGAAAACACAGATTTGCACGTGCTGCAGAATGAGGCCTTCTCATGGTTAAAGTATATGCCAACCGGTTAGGCCATGGTTCCCAGCACTAGGTGGTTGGCCTCCATTTGTGATGTGATGTAATTATCCATTTTGTGACAGGTGTCATGAACCCTAATGTCTGTACACGAATGGCGCAGGACTAGGTGGGTTGTACTCAAATCCCATTCTTACTCTAGCCATCATCCTTACACAAATAATTAAGGCATGCCCTTACTCAAGTAACACCCTGGTCTGAGTGACACCTTCGATGTCACAGGAGGTAGAAGAAAGACGCGCACGAGCAAGAGGGACCTGACTGCCCTCAAGTAAGAGGAGCCAGGAGTGGACTTGGGTCCTTGCACTCAGATCCCCCTAAACCCAAGGAAGACAGATGCCTAGACACATGGAGATCTCCAAAAATTCCCGCTCTACAGGGATCGAAAGGGTATAAGGACCTTCCCACAGCACGAACAGAGAGAAAGCTTCCCCTCAAGCTGGCTCTCAGAATTCAGGCATCTACCCTCTTTCTCCGAAAATAAGACAGTGTCTTATATTAATTTTTGCTCCCAAAGATGCGCTAGGTCTTATTTTCAGGGGATGTCTTACTTTCGGGGAAACGGTATATGTCAGCATGTGTGAAAGCCACCTACCTGTGCTGTTTTTGTCAGCGCAGCGCTAGACAACCAGAACCTGGACAACGAAGAACTGGGTCAGGAAGCAAGTTCTGAATGCCCTTCTAAGAACAACAGGGAAGCAGCTGCTGCTCAAGTCTTACCCCACAGTCTGGGACATCAGGTTTAACTTCTGGCTCTCACTGGGGCTCTAAGTAGAACTTGAAAACCATAATGTCTTTAGCACAGACTTTGAAGCAATCGGCAGATTGTGACAGTAAGTTCAAGTCTGATTTTTGAAGCAGAATCTTTTCTCTTTTCAAATATAATCTCCTTCAGAGCTACAATCAGCAAAATCAGATAAAAGCCCATTTGTCGGGGTGGTAAGGGTTGCACAATTATGTAACTACATGAAAAAGCACAGGGCTCTCCACATTGGATGGCTTGTGTGGTATGCAAATCCAGCTCAGAATAGTGCTGGGCATGAAGTCGGAGCCCTGGCTTTCCCACCCCCCTACTCTCCACAGGCATGTCGGGGTGTCTGAAAACCCCTCTGCACCGGACTGTCAGACCAATAGAGAGAGAATGACAACAGAGAGCGGCTCTACCAATAGAGCCTGTGACACCATGCTCACCACGGGCCACCCCTGTCCAGCGACTACAGAGACCAACAGACAGCTCTGTTAACACACAGACCCAACCTCACACCTTCCACTGCGTACTTCAGTCACCACCCTTGGTCTACCACGTGCCCATCTAAAGCTCCTCCTAGAAGACAGAAAGGGACAGCAAGCTCTTGCACTCGTTTTATGACTCCACGCCCAAACCAGACAAGACCCCACACAAGGACAGAAACTCCAGACCAACATCCCTTATGAACAGAGACACCAAAGTTCCCAAACAAGCCCTGGCCAATACACTTCAACAATACAGCAACAGTGATCATAATAATAATACGCCTTGCTCAAGTGGGATTCATACCAGGTACACAAGGATCGTCCAACTTTAGGAAAACAAGCAGTAGAGTCCACCGCATAAACAAAATAAAGCTCCTCCTGGCGACATGGCTGGCATTGCTGTCACCACGCTGACCGGCTCTTCAGGTGATTGAGGGTAGATGGGATTCCAAATATAAGTCTCTTCTGCTCCAAAACTGGAGCTCCTCCCCAGGGGCGGAGACTGCGAGGGCAGCCGGGGATCTGGGCTTGACGAAGCGCCTTCTGCATGGAGGCTTTGAGGTGCCGTACAGGCTTCTCCTGTGACAATGATGATGGCCACCGTTGATACTGATGAACGCCCATGCCCACTATAAAGCGTCAAGTTTGGCAGCTCGAATCCACCCTCGCAGCTTAGCTCCTGGCTTGAGGGGTTTCCCCATGACCACTGCCCACTCTTTGGCATCACTGACCTTGGGGATGTCCTCAACAGTGCAAATCTGGTGGCTGAATGGCAAATCACAGGAAAAGAACCAAGTTGGGGCAAACGAACACCGAGGGAAACATGACTGGGACATATTCCCTAACTCATGCAGGGGGAATCTGGAAAGCTAGTATTCACGGTAGGAAAGCCACCACATTGGTAAGTTAGAGATAAAGTCCCAGTACATTTTCCTGTGTTAAATATCATTTCCACAGATTCTCCCCTCACAGCTACGCTGCCTCAAAGTGAGCACGTGGTTGATTCTGTTTCCCTAAAGAAGCAGGCATTCCTACTTGTTCTATCTCTTCCCGCCGAAGCATCCAACCTCTCTCGGACCTGCCCCCAATAGTAGATGGGCTGGGGGCGGCTTTACCCTCCAAGCCTGTGATTCAAAATGTCAGCCATAAGCCTGAATTTTTGGCTTGGCTACATTAATATTGTCATTAAATATGCCTTGACCACTTTCAAGGTATAGAAAGTAACCATGTTGCCCTGGTGGCTCTTTTGAATTTAATACATAAAAGGGGGGTGGTATTGTGGGATACACAAGGGTTTCTCCCGAGGTGGTCTCCCCAAAATATATGTCAGACCTAGAACACTGCTTGCAACACATAGTAATTAATTGTAGCACACTTGGAAGCCAGCTGGTTAGAAGTTATCTCCCTGAAGGCATTAGCCACCCAGGGCAATCAGACTACTGTCTGGTCCACCGTAGATAAGGCTCACACCCTACTGATAAGGATAGTGATGGTCTCCATGAGTAAAGGTCTAGCCAGCTCAAGGATGACCAAGGTTAGACTGCCCTCTTGAGTCTAGGGCCCGCCCATCTTGTCACATGTGTACCCTTAATCCCTCCCCTTCCTATTGCATGTACACCCCTACTGCATCCCCTTCCTGTGAAGCATATGCCTATTGCACAACCCCATCCTGTGGCGAATGTGGTTACCTGCAATCGAGGGGGCTTGCATGCCCTAAGCATATATAGGCCTTGCTCAGAAAGAAAGAGGTACTCCTCTCTTCCTCCTGCTCTCTGCGCCGGATCTGGGTGCTGAGATCATGGCCGTCCAGGAGGTGAGCATGCTACCATAAAATGTGTCTGACGCCTTTATTTCACACTCTCTCCTATCTTCTATGACTTTACTATGATCTCTATACACTATAACCGCACAATTGCTCCTGCGGATCCCCATGGTCTACTCTAACACCAAGTCACAGGCTCTTCCTCCAGCCTGGGCCAGCTCTAGTCTGGCCGAGTCCCCACGGGGTAAGCATGTAAGTACAGTCTTCCCCTGGAAACAGTGGCCACAATGTTTTAAATA